ATAGAAAAATCTTGTTTAAATAGAGAATAATTCATTTTTTCTTTATAATTTTCTATTGGTAATTTTAATTGATTTAATTTATATTTATTTATAAATGTAACAATACATTTATTTTGTTCTTGTTTAATAAATGGATAATACATATATGAATATGGATGTATAACATATTTAACAATACCTTGTTTATCAGGAATAGTTGATGATACAGTAACTGTTTCATATTTCATATTTGTTGCTTGTTGTTCATCATTATTATCATCAAATATATGAGAAAGTCCTGCAGCACCAGCTACAGCACATGCAGCTACTGCTAAGATCATCAATGAAATTTGTATTTTTTGTATGTTTTTTTTAGATAAGAAAAAAAAAGAACGTTTCTTTTTTGACTTTGTCTTCTTCTTTTATTTGTACGCGGGTAATTATGAATATTTTAAAAACTTGTTATACAGAATTAGATTCACTTATAACATATTTACCAAATCTGAATTCAAATCAAAAAGAATATTTTCGTGAAATTTATTTAACAAAAAAAATGACAACAAAACAAGAAATACAATGGAAAGAAATTCTTCAAAGAAAAAATTCTATAATAAATAATAATGAATTATTTCTTTATAATCTTTTAATAAATTGTTATATGAAAAATCGTTCAAATATTCTTTTAATAAATATTGATATAAAAAATAAAAATTTAACTAAAAATACATTTCAATATAATGATTATATTTATAAAAATTCTTTAATTACATATATTTGTTTATCAAATATATGGATTAAAAGACGTAAATATTTAATTGATGATGCATTAATTTATCTTTTAAGTGAATTTCAATTAATTGAATGTTTAACACGTAAAAGACAATTATTTATACAATTATCTGGTATAGGTGAAACATTTTTTAATGTACCTTATTATATAACAAGAAATTTAAAAGAAAAACAACAAAATAATTTTAAATTAAATAAATTTAATACAAGAAAACGTACAGTACAATTTCATTTACATACAACTAAACAAGGACAACAAGCACATTTAACTGATTTATATGAAACATTAATTGCTAGAAATATGATACAATATCGTATATCAAAATATGAACGTTTTGATATTCATCATCCAATTGAAAAATTATTTAATGAACAATTATTTGTTGATGCTTTTTTTCAATCAGATTTTAGTAAAAAATTTTTTAATCATCGACCAAAAGAAGAAATGGTAAGAAATATTAATAATAACAAGTTATTTAACGCGTACTCTACGATTGATTTTCATTGTATTTTGTATCTATGTATTTTTTTTTTAAGTATGACAAATATGTGTAAGAGTCTAATTTCTAACTTATGAAAGTAGGATATCATATTTGATTTGTTGTTTGTAGTACAGATTCGTTTCAATAATATAATTATATAAATATATATAACAAAAACAAAATGCGAGAAAATTAGAATATGATTTTCTAATTAGTTTATAGTAAAATAAATATTATTTTTTTTTTGTTATAGGAACAAATTCGTGAAAATCTAATACCAATATTCGAAAAATTTCAATTAAATCACCATCAATTTTATCTTCGACGTCGATCACGTTTACCATTATCATTTACAAATCATCATGTTCCAGAACCAACTGCTACACTTGATCAATTAGTACCTTTAACAACACCGATTTCTTCTATAAAAAATTTTATTTGTATATGGTTAAAAAATATTTTACCTATAGAATTATTTGGTTCAAAATATAATTATAAATTATTTATATATAAAATGTGTTTTCTTATTGAATTACCACGAATACAAGAATATTCATTAGGTGATGCTATAAGAAAATTAAAATTGAAACATTTTCAATGGTCTAATATTCAAATGTTAAATTCATCATCACTTATATGTCAATTATATATTTGTCATTTAATTTATTTTCTTATACAATATGTTCTTATATTAGTTCGTTCATATTTTTATGTTACAGAACCATCGACACCATCTCATCAACTTGAACTTATTTTCTATCGACATAAAATTTGGTAAGAAACAAAAAAAAAAAACAATTTTTCTTATAAAATAATATATGATGTCCAATTAATAGGACAAATGTCAGGCCTTATTTCTCTATCTTCTAGTAAATCAAGTTTTCTTTCAATACCTTTCTATCGAAGAGAAATAAAGTCTGACATTTGTTCCATTACTTTTGTATCGTATGTTATTTCATATAATTCAATGCAATATATATATATACAGGTATGCTATACAACAAAAATCACGTAAAGAATTATTTTCTAAATCTTGTTGTCCAAATGTTGAACAAGAAAATGTTAATAATTATGATTGTATACGTTATTTATGGAAAATACGGTTTGTACCTAAAATAACAAATGTACGTTATTTAGCATGTGCACAAATAGAATTTAACACAAGAGAAAATATAAATCATTTAAAATATACAAATGAAATATTAAAATATCTTCGAAGACATAATAGACATTTAATAGGTATATCAACATTTAATCGTGTTGAAATGCATCGACGATGGCAAGATTATTGTCGAATTGCACCAAAAATAGATAATGACAGCATGACTTATTTTTTGGTATGAGTTGTTTGTTTTTGTTTTGTCAACTAGACATTTGATAATATGTGGTTTTTAATTTATAGAGAAGTGATATTTCGAATTTTTATGATTCAGTTAATCTTGATTATCTTGATAAGGTGAGTACATATAAAAGTTATATATGAAAAATAAATGCAAGAAAATAAATAGACATATGAAATGGAACAAATTACATTAAAACTTAATAATAGGAGATCGAGGAAATATTTGAGCAAAAAC